TATAGCTCAATTAAGAACAATCAAATCTTTTTTTAAAATATTAATTAGCGATGGAAATAAAGTTGATATTCGTGTTCAGCGCATCAATATATAGTAGTAAATGGACAACTGGTAGCTAAGTGTGAGACGGGAGGGAAAGTAAAGGAAAACCAAAAACACTTTTATGTGTGGATTTTATGTACAAATGTTGAAACTCTTGTCCTGCGTCTGTGCTGAGATGCGAATCTTATCAGAAACTGATTACGTCGGACGTTCCGGGCAGGCCATTGGGGTCACTCAGTGTGTACAGCGCGGGCGCCGGGAAACGTGTGTTTTCGCCATGAATAACGCTCTATCCTTCATAGCTTTCTATTTATAAAGTGTTACAAACACATGAATAACCCCCTCTCACAAGCTGATAAGACATTACACCCATTCGAATAACCTTTCTGGACGCTCTTGTTGTTATGAATGACCTGAGGTTCGAAAGGGGATAATTTAGGTCAATTTCCGAATGTTTTACACTCAAATTGTTCTTTGTACCTGCACAATGTCAAAACTATCAAACAAGCTTATTTTTTATCAGGTAGTATCATTTCATACAAAATCAAGCTGATTTGAAATATTTTGTAGAAAAATGGAAGTCTTGTTTCCTTACTTTCCTCATGTCTAAGTGGGTCAATTTCTTCTATAATTTCATTGGACATTGGACGAACATCTAGAGCTACCAACTTGGCATGTTTTGAATGAGACGTATGCCTCGATTACGAACCAACGCAGGCGGTTCTAGAAGAAGGCCACAAACGCACACAAACTCAAGCAGACTGACGCACACACATTTGACCTGCGTGAATGGGGATCCGACTCGGAACCCGAATGACACGTAAGAGGATGCGAGCTACACTGATTCAGGACCAGAACGAAAACCATGTGCCGAAATAGGCTTATCAGGCTACATAAACCCGGCTCTCGCAGGATGAGGGTTAATAAGTAAAACGAAGTGGCTAGCCGTACTAGACTGAGAGTCTAGCCGTACTTGCCGTACTTAAGTACGGCTAGTAAGTACGGCTAGACTGCCAGTCTAGCCGTACTTAAATCTAGGTTTGGCCCTATCGACTCAAGCCTGGTAAGTACACAGGTCTCATTAGATCTAGATCTAGATTTTAGTAATTATTCAGGTTCAAATACATGCAAGTCAGTAAGGCACCTTTTGGTTTTGTCTGAAATACAAATACTTTTGGCATTGCAAACTAAAAATTTCATTTACAATTCAGCCATTCATATTAAGTATGGCTAGCCTGACAGTCTAGCCGTCCTTAAGTACGGCTAGCCTGGCTGTCTACCCGTACTTAAGTACAGCTAGACAAGAAGTCTAGCCGTACTTAAGTACGGCTAGACTGCCAGTCTAGCCGTACTTATCTTAGGCCCTATTAACATTAGAAAACAGGAGGTTTTAAATACATACACTGTCATTAAGGCACCTGGTTTCGTCTCAAATACAAATGCTTTAGGTACTGCACACTAAAAATGTATATTTTCAATTCAGTAGGCCTATTTTTTGTGAATGGTCAGTCTAGCCATCATATTAAGAATAAGTACGGCTAGACTGCCAGTCTAGCCGTCATTAAGTACGGCTAGCCTCTTACTAAGTAAAACAACTAAAGGGCCTAGAAGCCACGCAATCAATGCCAAATAGCAAAAAAAACGATATTGCGCACTGAAATGGACTGCACAAATTTGGTCTGCCTCAGTGCGCAACCCTATCTGGCATATTCCTGGGCACTAAGAAGCAGCCTGCGATAGTAACTGATAGTATTTATCGATTCTAGTATAAATTCTATGATACATCAGAGCTAGATTAACTAGATGTGCTAAATAATCGACTACTCAAGCGCTTAGTTTAGTAAATTCACCGATACAGGTTGGAAGTGGCTATTCTCATCCGGGGTGAGAATAGAAATACGATCGATCTCTCACCCTGGGTGAGACTTGCGACCGTAGGCTATTCTCACCCGGTTTGAAACAAGACCTGTTTTTCCTCATTTCTGAATACTTTCTATCGATGTGGATGATCAAATTGATAAAAGCCAAGAAAAAATTACGTATAAAATAGCACAAAAGTAAGCTAATTTGATCGTCTTCAAAGATGCTATGGCTATTTCACTGTTCGAATTGAGCCGAACTACGCGGTTCGCCATTTTGTTTTGCCCGGAAGTTCTCGCAAGATCTACTCCTCCCCTCTCTTTCTCTCTCTGTCTCTTTCTGAATACTGTCTATCGGTGTGGACGATCAAATTGACCAAAACAAAGTTTAAAAAATGATGTTAAAACACAAAAGTAAATTAATTTGGTTGTCTACAAAGATGCTACGGCTATTTAACATTTCGAATCGAGCCGAACTACGCGGGTCGCCATTTTGTTTTGACCGGAAGTTCTCACGCTACTCCTCTCTCTCTCTCCACTGCCCACAGACAAAATTGCTTTTAGTACGCTATTATATAGTTGTAATGGAACGTTTCTTCACGGCACAGAATTCTACAAATTTTCTGTTATCACAGTGTAGAATTCTGTGGTTTAGGGTGAACGCAAAATTTGTTGGCCTAGATCTAGGCTATAACGGTGAACGCGCACAGGGTGAGAGCCAAAAGACTCGCCTGCACTATTCTCACCCCGGGTGAGAATAGAGGTGGCCATACAGGTTACGAAAAGAAAGTGGCTATTCTCACCCGCCCGGAAGTTCTCGCAAGATCAACTCCTCCCCTCTTCTCTCTCTCTCTGTCTCTTTCTGAATACTGTCTATCGGTGTGGACGATCAAATTGACCAAAACAAAGTTAAAAAATGATGTTAAAACACAAAAGTAAATTAATTTGGTTGTCTACAAAGATGCTACGGCTATTTAACTTTTCGAATCGAGCAGAACTACGCGGGTCGCCATTTTGTTTTGCCCGGAAATTCTCGCGCTACTCCTCTCTCTCTTTCTCTCTCTCTCTCCACTGCCCACAGCCACAGACAAAATTGTACGCTTTTAGTAGGCTACAGTTGTAATGGAACGTTTGTTCACGGCACAGAATTCTACAATTTTTCTGTTATCACAGTGTAGAATTCTGTGGTTTAGGGTGAATGCAAAATTTGGTGAACGCGCACCGGGTGAGAATAGCCACAAGACTCGCACCGGGTGAGAATAGAGGTGGCCTTACGAAAACCATCAATATGAAGGGGCAAAACTTTCCGACACCGTAGAATCACGTGTGTTGACAGGAACCTCCAAAACGAAAGTGAAATAAGCTGCATTCTGCGCATGCTCACAGAAAGTGACCTCGTTTTCGCTGTTCTTATCCAAAACAAAGCAGGAGACTGGGGGTTGCGCACCCAAACAGAGGCGCGGTGACACTGTTAGACTCTAGATTAGATTCTAGGTCTAGAGATGCTGGAATAAGCCATGTTATGATTTTAAGCTCTTTAACCCTTTGACATAATTTTTAGGTGAAAATCCAAAGAAACTGGGGTGGTAAACATCGCCAATCGGCGAGATGAGGCAGCAAGGTGTTAGATTATAGATCTAAACTCACCAGCCGGCAACTGACTAGAGCACCAACTGAACAAGTCGAATCTGAAATCTAGATCTAGATCTAGATCTAGATTAGATTTAGCGAATCGGTTCAGAATTTTTAAAAAGTAGGGTAGGAATAGATCGAGAGTTCATGAGTGCATCCATTCTCATTCCTTTCACTTTTGCAATCTCAATCTGATCCAGCCTCTTAGGCTTAAGTGAGGGAGACTCGACTCTCTAACATTCTCGTATTATGAAGACCCACCATGAAAAGCAAGCAGATATTTCCAAATGCAATAATAGTATGACTGAATTAATAAGATCATATAACAATGATAACGATAATAAGTAAACCAGTCTCCAAAATAATACCTTTTATTTTCATCTCAAGTCCATTGTCGAGACAGCACCATAGCATAATAAGCAGCCATCTTGGAGTGGGGTTTTTTTTTGCCACTCCCAGATTTTTTCTGCCGGCCAGTGTTTAGGCCTTGTGGCTGAGTGGGCACAGTAGGCCTAGCCTAGGCTAAATCACCCCGCGCAAAAGCAGACAGAGCTCCGCCGAATGAGTGCGCGATCAACCAATTTAACGGGCCCCTGCGCTAATTGTCTTTCATTCGTCCAAACTTCATTAATCTTTACTTTCTTTCGAAGTTCCACTGATTCCGTTTCGAAACAACAAGTATCATAACCTATGTGAATTTGCAAAAAGATCCCAAGACACCCTTTCCAGATGAAGAGAAGAGATGATGGAGCAGTTGCGTGTGCGTGTCTGTGTGTGTGTGTGTGTGTGTGTGTGTACCGTGTGTGTGTGTGCTTGTGAGTGTGGTGTGTGTGTGCGTGCGTGTGTGTGTGTGTGTGTGTGTGTG